TTCAATGGTGCTCGCAGACAAGTACGGTTAAAGAAAAAAACCCAGCTAGGGTTACTAGGAATCGAGCTAAGAAACCAGACTACAAACATAAACGTAATAGTATCTACGATAGCTAAAGAAGATTTAGCTTTCACCATAAATTCACAAACACACACACGTTTCCCTCACACAACGCCAGATTTAAATTAATAATGATCTTGCCTCTTCCATTACCGGTGTAGCATGGATATCACACTTCATCGCTCAAGGGGAGAGGGGCAGACTAAAATGACAAAATATATATTACTATACTCTTGGCTCCTTCTTACTGCAGTCTTTCAGCCACACCCCTTGTCTTATGGTAGGTAAGATCTAACACCCATACTAGCCTTTTCGGATATAGGGAGAAAAATCTCGGAAGTCCCGTGTGCAAGTTGTGCACGTTAAAGATCCCTTTGTTGGTAAAAAAATCGATATGAGTAGGCTTCAGCCGCCACCAAGGCAAAATTCAAAATTTTCTACAAAAATGAATAACTATATTTGATGTGTCCTGCGCGCTCATGTGACCTTATGCAGCTGTGAGTGCCGCAAAACATATACCAATCCCCCCCCCCAAAAAAAATAACAACCCAAAAAAGAAAAAGAAAACAAAATTAATTAATTTACGTAAATACAAACAAAAATACAACAATATGTACCCCCCCCCCAAAAAAAAAAGCAAAAACAAAAACAACAACCAAAACAAAACAAAAATAACTTCCCTATGTGAAGTCTGGCTTACGATAAATAATATCTGTTTTCGCAAGCAAACACATCTTGACATACTCTAAAATATCTCCTGTGGCAACGCAAGTGTCAACCAAACAGCTAAATGTACAGATATTCTAATGATAAAATCTTTGGGCTATTGGACGTGACCATTGCACTGAGGCCATGACAATGTGCAGTAAGATGAAAATGTTAATGGTTTAAATGAAAACCTATTACATGTACATTAGATCTACCTTTATTTTAAGCTGCCAGCAAGTTTGTTTGAGCTTGCTTTTTCTTTGAGTCTCGAAAACAAAATTAATGGACGGAAACAGATGAACAACCCCCCTCGAGAAAATCCCAAACAACAACCCACTCCAAAAAAACCCAAACAAACAACAGCCCCCAACC